CTTTAAGAGGGTACAGCTTGGCTAACCGGTTGGCCAGATTTGGTTTCTTCTCTATCTTCCTCCATTCCTCATAGACGATCCCTTTTATTTCTTCCTTAAAAGGAAAGGTGTTAGACACCTTCTGTAAGTGCGGGAAATATTTTCTTGCTGTGGACGCCTCAGCGACCGGATCCTCCCAGCTTAGCGCCTCCTTGACCGCTGTGACATAGGAATCAACCAGGGAAAAATCAAAAGCTGAGCAACCCCATTCCTGAGCGTAGTCCGACTCATTGGAATCCACAGAGCGATCCAACTGCTGAGGTGAAATAGTGGGCCCTGGAGGGACTGGCCTGGCCATCTGTTTTATGCATTCCCTCACGTAACGCTCTACCATGGCCGCTATGTCCCTAGGAGGGGAGTTATGATCCTGTGTCGCTTCGCTCAGGCAATCCTGGCAGACCAGTTTATCCGGCAGCGCTTGCTTGCCGCAGACCCAGCATCCATGTCGCGGGAACCCCCTGGCAGACCGGTGGGTATGTGCAGACCCATGGGTCGAGTGGGATCGACTGCGCTCGTGAGAGCTATGCCTCCTGGGAGAGCGAGATCTGTGTCTGGAGTGCCTCCGACCATGGTGGGCTTCATGAGGTGGGCTGTAATAACATTAAAGAGATTGTTACCACCCCATCCTTTTTGTTTCTCCTTCTTGAGGAAGAACCACCTACCTGGCCCTTACCTATTTGGTGTGGCAGTGTTTGAGGTGGCAGCTGTGTCATCCATAGCTCTGGTGGTAGAGAGAGAGAGAGAGAGAGAGAGAAACACATCAGGACATAAGATCTATTCCCTGCACATGCCAGGGCTACCTAAGGAACCCATGCCCTCTACCCCTATACCTGTAGCGTGGACGAGCAGTCAGAGTAGTTGCGGCAGCAGCAATAACCAACGCCGCTGCCGATTTTAAATGAAAGATATGGCCATCAGACGCCCGCGCATGCGCAGTAGCCCAACGGCCGCCATCTTTGAAGAGATTGTGTCTCCGTCCGCCATGACAGAAAAGCCTATGGCAAACGAAGCGTGCTGGTGCCGACGCCACTGGGGAGGAGGCAGAGCAGACTGACACCAGGGAGCACAGTCAGGGGAGGCAGGGTGAGGCAGGGGAGGCAGAGCCTCACCTAGAATTATGGAGGAAAAACCTGTCAGCTTCAAGTCTGAAGCTGACAGCTTTTTCTCCATTCAGATAGGCTTCTAGCAGGTTACAGAGCAAGGAAAGCCTCCCCGCTGGGTAACCTGTCATGGACGGAGTGCTGCCTGTTAATTACAGGCAGCGCTGCATCCAGCTTTTGACAGGTAGTTCGGTTACACAGCAGCGGGCTTCCCCACTGCTTGTGTAACCTAACTATTGAGGCCAGAGCTGTCACAGCCTCTACTCTTTGTTAGAGGCGTGAGCTCTGTGGATGGCTTGGACCAATGGCAAAGCCAAAAAGAAAAAAAAAACCACTGAGGCCATAGATCTCGATGCCTTAGCAGTGACGAGCAAGTGAGGGACAGGGAGGCTCCTCCCTGTCTCCTCCCTTCCTTCTTTACACTAGCTTTGGGACTGATTGGTGGGTGGGGCTTAGTCTGCCAGGAGCGGGGCTTCAGCTGGCAGGGGGCGGGACGGGACGTGCTGGGGAATGCCTCACCCGAAACAAGGTACCGCATGTCACTGCTGTGCTCTACTAGAAAAGAAAGTACTCATGAATGGAAAAAACTCCAGAGAAAAGGATATGAGTAGAATACAAAAAAAAGACTAGTCAGGAAGAAAAACTGGAAGATAACAATGTGATCAAAAGACACAGTGCTGTGACTGAAACCAGCTCAAACAAACAAAAAATATTTATAATAAAAATATATTTCAAAAAATATACAGCATAAAATATAGAGGAGAAAAGAGTCAAACAACAAGAATTAGATGCCCCGACCCGTAATTTTCATTACAATTTAGGTAAACATCAAGGTGCCAGTTTTATGGTCCAAATGTCAGTGTCCGATACTCTATCTTCTCTGCCTTGCACTTCACCTATATACTGTACATTCATTTCATTTAAGGTGTATGCTAAAAACGGAAGCATTGCACACTTCCTTTGCTTTGATTAATGCAGCACGTTTCAGGAAACCATTTACACAAGTTCTCGAGCAGCTAAAAAGTTTTGCTTTGACAGCAGTCTTTATCTGATGCGATGGCTACGATGGTGAAAGAACAATGGGAACCGCCACAAGAACTCCTCGTGACTTTAAAATGAATTTCCACAATTGCAGGCACATTTTGACTCCCGCTATATGTTTTGTATGTGTTCCTATTCACATGACAAGCCAAAAAATAATTTTGTTTAACATTTTTTTTTTCTTTTTGACCTTTTTAGGTGTCTCTGTTGAGTGGGCCTTTGGACAGACTTCAAGCTTCTCTCTACAAATTCAAAGTGAGAAGAAACTCTGGCTCTCCCTATTGAAAGACTAGGGACACAATCAGGGGCGTCCTTAGCTTTTTTGCCACCTTAGTTGGTGGGGCGCAGGGGTGGGTTTACGGGCGCAGTATCCTGCCAAATTCCTGGCAACCAGTGATGTCACTGGTTGCCAGAAGCTTAGGGGGAAGATGGCAAGAGCGTCCCAGGTTGCTAAGAGCTGGGCGGGGAGATGTGTATGGTCCTTAGACATCTCCCCGCTCGGCTCTTAGCAACCTGAGCCACTCTGGCCAGAAAGGGGGCAAGCAGGCACACTGCAAACATTGTGCAGCAGAGCAGCCATGCCACACTGCCTGCTGCCACCCCATGAGTTGACTCAGACTGCCTCATTATAGAGACAGCCCAGACACTATGAGCTTCCTCTCATTAACATAAAATGCTTCTAGATCTTTAGCCTGCCAGTACAGTTCAGACAGGGTTTATTATGGTTAAAACACCCAACTTCCCCTTGTATTCCAGAGGAAGATTCCGTTTAAAGAAAACACACACAATGCTGTGCTCGATCTCCTATATTGGAGGCCAGGGATGATATCTGGGGTCTAAAAGTCACCTCCAAATGCTGTCACATGTTAGCTGCTGTGTGATAGCAATAAAGTTAGGTGAAAAACATTTTTTTTAAAGTGATACAAAAACAAAAAAATAAAATAAATAAAAATGTACAAAAAATGTAAAACCATCCCCTACGCCCCTGCCATCTGCATGCAAATTAAATTGTGCGCGTAGGGTGTGTAAGTAAACAACGACCGCGCCACATGTTAGTTATTGCCGTGAATGTCGGAGTGAGTGCAATAATTCTAGGTCCATAATTTGTTGTTAAAAGTGAACTATGGGGTAAGTGTTTTTCCCCATAGTTCTCTCTAGAGTCACAGGAGGATATATACTAACCTCCTCCTGTGACCCAAAGCTCAGTATGCTATGCCTGATGAAGGAACCCTGCTTGTGTATTTGACATGAGTTTTGCAATAAATCTACAATTGATGACTCTTTAAGGAATCTGGTGTGCTGGTGACGTTTCTCTTACACAATTTACAACTGGCGGGGCCATCCACAGTCATTCCAAGCACCCTTCCCCTGAATATGGGGATTTCCGGCAAGGAGTGCAACAAGCCTTCTTTATCTGATTCCAAAGCTCAGTATATCGCGGGCTATTCTCCGCGATATACTGAGAGCGCCGCAGCCAGAACGGATCCCGACAATACTGGATCCACCCAGCTGCATGAGTGCCAGCTGGCTCTGCCTATCTAGAGGCAGAGCCAGCTGTGCCTGCCCCCTCCCTGTCTGTTCCTCCACTCAGCGCTGGAGGATCGGAGAGGGGAATCCCTGCGCAGAGCGGTGACTGACAGTCACCGCTCACTGCAGGGAGACGATCAGGGAAGTGAGCAGATCGGTGCATGTTTCTGATCACTTACCGATCAATAGAGCCGACCTGTGACAGCTTCTTTGTCACAGGTCGGCTCTGACTATAAGGATGAGTGGAAAGCACTCAGCTCATAGTTCTCCCTTAACTCTAAATTGATGAGCAGTAAAGACTTTTAGGTCTCCGCCCCACGCCGCAGTGTTTTAAGCGCTGCGGTCAAAGGGCAGATTTTTTCCACTCCTTTTGGTCTTGTCCACATATCCGTACGTATTGGTCTGAAATCACCTCCTTTATGGAGACTGGCTTGGGTTTCCCCAATATATGCAATCCCACTTTTTGTCTATTAGGCCTTTTTGGTGAACTGATGTTGGATGCTAGGGCTCAGACCCTCATCCGTTTACTTTTGTTCTACGCTAAGAAGGCCATCCTTTTGGTATGGGGCAGACCCACGGCACCCTCCCTAAGTTGCTGGAAAAAACTGGTCGATCAGTCCCTACCTCTTTACAAGCTTACCTATGCACAGAGGGGTAGCCTAGACTGCTTTGAACTTATCTGGGGACCATGGTTTTCCTCTACAGCAATTGATCCGGCATAACTGTACTTCATGCTATAGAATGCGGCCTGGAGCTCCAAGTTACCCTGCTGACTCCCCATGTTCATTGTACATCGGTGTGTATCCTTGAATTTCTTATGCCTGTATTGAGACTGTAATTTATCTTTTGTACTGAGACTGTAAACTCATTGTGATTTTTTTTGATTTTATCTCACTGGGTATGTTGCCCGGGTTATCCCTTTTTGTGACCTGTCTAAGTTTTTGCTAAATTTGATAACCTAATAAAAAGCATCTTTTTTTTTTAAAGGCTTTTAGAGCGTTGCCTATGGGCAATTTTGAGTACCATAATTTTTCACCATTGCGGGCCTTTGGATAGACTTCAAAAAATTGGGCATTATATTCTGTTTCTGTGCACTAGAGTTCATTTTAGTGTATTTTATCCTAAAAATATTGCTTTGATAAACATTTACGCAAATTTCGTGCGACATAAGAAATTGCGACAAGCCTTTTTCTATTCTAAAGGGCCTCTGCTTTCAGAAAATAGATCATTGCTTGGGGGTACTAACCTGTTTTCTAGCCAAAAATTCATATCATGTGTGTGCGAAAATTAAAGGAGAACTATGAGGTGAGTGAAAATCACTCATCTTCACAGTTCGAGCCGACGTGCGACCATGAAACTGTCACACGTCGGCTCAATAGATCGGTAAGTGAGCGAACACATACCGTCACTCGCTCACTTCTGGATCCTGTGCCTGCAGAGAGCCGTGACTGACAGTCACCACTCCCCGCAGGGATTCCCCCCCTCCCCTGTCCGATCCTCCAGCGCTGACTGGCGGAACGGATGGGGAGGGTACAGCTGGCTCTGCCTCTAGAAAGGCAGAGCCAGCTGTCACTCACGCAGCTGGGTGGATCTCGAAAAGTAATGTCGGGATCCGTCCCGGCTGCGGCGGTCTCAGTATACCGCGAGCTGTAGCTTGCGATATACTGAGCTTTGGGTCACGGGAGGATGCTAGTTTATGTCCTCCAGTGACCCTTAGGAGAATTATGGGGAAAAACACTTACCCCATAGTTCTCCTTTAAGAAATTGTTCCGGACAGCAAGTGGTTAAAGAAATTTCGTCTTTGGCATTATTCGCCCACAAAGAACGTTCACAGATGTTATTTAATATAAATGTTTATAAATAGATCCCTAGGTGACCAAGGTCAAGTGAGGGATCCCGAGTATTTAATGAATCTTCAGAAGGGTCTTCTTGGCGAGAGCCTCCTGGGACCAAACCCTGTGCAGAGGTAGGAGGTAGGTGCCTAGAAAATTCACAGGTTTTCTTTAAAAACCCAGCAGATCAGTGAATAGACTAAGGGTACGTCAGCCAATTTTTGCCTTTCAAAAGCAAACATTTGTCTAGTTACAGATGCTACACTGCGCCTATTATAACGTTTGTTAGCCAGGAGAGAATGACAGCATATTGTTTTCTATAAAACAAAGGTGCACTTTATGAGTTTAGCCTCAGGGCTCGATGGAAATTCATCAGCAGAGGTCTACAGTCAAGTACTTTCTGCTTTTAGCACAGTCTGTTCCCGCGGCTGTGCAGCGATATCTAGCAACGGTGGCACTTTGTTTACATTATTGGGACGCGTCTATCGGGTTTAGGTTTGCGAGGAAAGCTGGCCACCTGTACCTGGGGATAAAAAAGGAAATTGAAATTCAAAAGCAGATGTGACCTTTAGTGAAAGCCACAGAGGTATATGGAGAATTATATGAGAAAGTCACTTTTTTTCTTTTATTACAGCAGAAAATAATAGAGATGTAAGCGGCGGAAAAATTAGGTTCGGATATTTTGTTATTTCGGGATTCGGATCCGAAATTCAATTCGGTTCGGGTTTCACATTCGTACGACATCCAAATTTTTGTTAGTTTCGGATAAGTTTATGAATATGCGTTTGCGAATACCACAGAAAACCATATACAGATAATAATACTAAAGCTGAGGCTCCTAGACCCGAATGGCATTCAGGAGTCCAAATTTCCGAATTGCTATTGGGGTCTGGGAGCCATATACATATATTACTAAAGCTGAGGCTTCCAGATGGCATTCACAAGCTCCCGAATAGTGATGGGCTGAACACCCCATGTTCAGCCCATGGTATTTGGGAGCTCCTGAATGCAATTAGGAAATTCGGATCCCGAATGCCATTCGGCTCTGGGAGCCATATACTGTGCATATTAGAGGTGCACCGAAATTCAAATTTCAACACAGAAACAAAACCGAAATTTTAAAAAAGTCAGGACGAAACCAACATTTTTTATATTTTATTTATTTTTTATAAACTTTTTTATTTTTTTAATATTTTTTTATTAACTATTTTTATTTTTTACTTTACTTTTAGGGGCTTTGGGGAAATATTAGGAGTCTAAACAGATCCCTGATATTTCCCTTTTAAAATAAAAAAAGAGATTGAGGACACAGAGTCCTCTAGCTCTTTTTCTGCAGCCCCTGTTATAAATGACCAGGAATCCTCTATACTGAGTGTTCCTGATCATTCATAAAATGTGGACAGAGTATGTTTACTATATCCACAATCATGAATGAACAGGAGGGGGTATAGATCACTCCCACTCATTCATAATTGAGGATATAGTAACCATACTCTGTCCTCAATTATGTACAAACACTCAGCGATCACTTATCACTGAGTGTTTGTATGCTGTCACAGCAGGATGAGCGAATGGGGCTCAGCCTGCTGTGACAGCGCTGGCTGTCTCCGCCCACATACCGCTCTGCCGATCCGTGACAGCAAGCTGAGCGGTGTGGGGGGAGAGATGCCGGCCGCTCACAGCGCTCTCCTCCTGCAGCGCTTGGCCGGCTGTCACAGTTTCTCCCCTTCCTGCTGGGACACAGAGCAGCACCCAGCGGGGAGGAGAGAATAGGATGGATGCACCGCTGTATCGGCCAGAAAATTGAACTTTCAGCATTATGCCAAAAGTGCCATTTTCGGCCGATATGTTTCGGTGGCCGATATATCGGTGCATCCCTAGTTTTAACATCTACTACCAGCTGTACCGGGAGTAGGAGTCTGGCACTCTATGTCAAGTGGTCGTGCCCTGCAGAAGAACATCAGCCTGATTAGATTTAGTTGTGGGGGGCCTTGATGAGACCTGTCACCCAGTGCAAAGATGTCCCCTCAACAGGAAGATGATACAATCATCATTTGAAACAGCTTAAAAACCTTTTGACTTTAGTATCACTTTAAATATATACTGATTTTGCTTTAATTTGTCCAATGCACAAAGACTTCATTTGTTTTTTGTACACATTCAGACTTTTCTATTTTTACTGATTAGTGAATAAGAATTATTTTGTAGAAAGCTTAGCGTTGACAAATTCCTGTTCCAGATTCCTGTTACTCTCGACACGGAATTTTCGCCATAAATGGAGACACACCTTTCCCTTTACTGATGATGATTCCTCATAAAGTCCTACCCACCTCGGCTGAGGAACACTGATAAACTGTGCAAAACATCCCCCCCCCCCATTTCCCCTTCTGCATTTCTGCCATTCAGAGAGCAGGCACACCTTTGTTGGTCTAACCCCTTTCACATCCAAAGGTAATTGAAGCCTAGATGTCCAGAAAAATGCATTGTTGAACTTGCGGGAGGAGAACGCTGTGAGCGGCCGGGGTCTCTCCTCCCCGTAACGCTCAGCCTCCTGTCACAGATCAGGAGAGTGGCCATGTGGGCGGAGACAGCCAGCGCTGTCACAGGAGGCCGGCCGGCGGTGTTGGGGAGGAGTCAGCTGTCAGATCGAGCTCTCCTCCCCGCACCGCTCGCCCAGCCTCCTGTGACAGCGTGTCAGAGAGGAGAGCGGGTACAAGCAGTCAGTGATCAGTGATCGCTGAGTGTTTGTAGATAATTGAGGACAGAGTATGGTTACTATATCCTCAAATATGAATGAATGGGAGATATCTACATCACTTCCTGCTCATTCATGATTGTGGATATAGTAAACACACTCTGTCCTCATGTTATGAATGATCAGGAACTCAGTATAGAGGCTTCCTGTTCATTAATAACAGGGGATGCAGAAAAAGAAATTGAGGACTCTGTGTTCTCAATCTCTTTTTCTATTATGACCTGACCTGACCGGACACGACGAACTCCCACCGCAAAATTACATTCTGACAGATGCCGGAAAAATTACATTACCGCTAGCTCCGCCCAACTGTTTACATTTGTCCCAGCATCTGTCACAGTCTTCCCACAGGTCCCAGACAAATCAAAATAAATGTGCGGATTCGGTTTAGACGTCATGGCCGGCTCCACCCACTTGTTATCATTCAGTGGCAGCCCAGTCTCCTAAAATGACCTGAGGACGCTGGGCTGTCAGTGAATAACAACAACCGAGCAGAGCCAATTGTTTACATTTGCAAGGAGAATGTTAGGCCACGCACCACACAACGCATGGCCGAGCAGCTGCGTTCAAGTCTTACATCACCAATTGCAATGCAAAGCGTCGGATGCCGTGGTGTAAAGCACGCCGCCACTGGACTCTAGAGAAGTGGAGACGTGTTCTCTGGAGTGACGAATCACGCTTCTCTGTCCGGCAATCTGATGGGCGTGTCTGGGTTTGGCGGTTGCCAGGAGAACGGTATTTGCCTGACTGCATTGTGCCAAGTGAAAGTTTGGTGGAGGGGGGATTATGGTGTCGGGGGTTGTTTTTCAGGGGTTGGGCTTGGCCCCTTAGTTTAGTGAAGGGAACTCTTAAGACATCAGCATACCAAGACATTCTGGACAATTTCATGCTCCCAACTTTGTGAAAATAGTTTGGGGACGGCCCCTTCATGTTCCAACATGTCTCCGCACCAGTGCACAAAGCAAGGTCCATAAAGACATGGATGAGCGAGTTTGGGGTGGAGGAACTTGACTGGCCTGCACAGAGTCCTGACCTCAACCCGATAGAACACCTTTGGGATGAATTAGAGTGGAGACTGCGAGCCAGGCCTTCTCGTCCAGCATCAGTACCTGACCTCACAAATGGTCCAACATTCCCATAGACACACTCCTAAACCGCTGGTGCCTCCTGAGTCTCTAAATGGGAGTGAGCAGCCGCCCGATTAGAGATTGTGTATAGATGTCACCAGCACACCAAAATCCTTCTTAGGATAAGCAAACGTTCATTTATTGAAGTTCCTTGTCATATAAACAATAGTTGTTTATATGACAAGGAACTTCAATAAATGACAATTGCTGATATTTGCGGCGCCACTCGCAGTCACTGCGAGCACCCTGCCTGATAGGGTAACTATCAGGCAGGTATGGCAGAACAGTGTCCAGAACAACCTTATGAAGGTGTGTTTATCACTCAGGGCCCGTTCACACTATCCAGTGCGTTCATCGCACAGTCTCATGGGATGAACGTAATGGATCGCATAAACAAAGGCTTATTCTGGGATGGGAGGGGGCGTGGTGGCTCCATTCATGTCAATGGCGCTGCAGACATGCTTCCCAACCACACTGGAACATGTGGTACCTCAATGCACTGCGTACCAGTGCGGTGTGATCGCAAAAAATCAGGCATGCCCTATTTTTTTGTGATTGCACTGCACTAGAACACAGTGAGGGGAATTTATCAA